AGATAACACGCACGAGAGCAGGCGCCGACGGAGCAAAACAAAACAAAAAAAAGAGCGAGCAACCATGGCCGCGCTGCTGCGCCAGCCAATGGTAAGCGCGAGATGGGGGGGCTCGCCGGCGCGCGCGCGCTCTAGCCAATCAGCGGTCCGGCAGACGGCTTCGCAAAACGGGGGAGGGTAGTCGTTGTGTTGGAGCTACGCCATTTTGAGAGCCCGCAAAACGCCCACAAAGGAACCAGCTTCAAAACAAGCCCAAGATGGCACCGATCCGCCGGCTGCTTCGCTGGCAGCGCGCGCGGGAAGTTCGAACAAATTTTCTGTTTTGCGGGTTGTTTTGCGACTCCCGTGATGGTTTGAAAATAGATTTTAACCTATTTTTTTATCGAATTTAGCATTAATAATTTGAGGAGAGGTGCTTATAGGTTTAAAGATTCGAAAAATGCGTTTTTCTCAAAATCGATTTTTTGGCCATTTTTTACTTTTCTAAGACCCGCGTCCCCCCTTAAGTCTCCGATCACCCAAATCAGTGATCAGTTTTGCTTATCATACTTTGTAATGGTGGCAGCAGCTTTCAAAGTGGCGACGAATAAAACAGTGGAATCGAGCAGTGGGAAGCTTAGCTTATAATCTTTCCCTAAAACTTCATCCCACGAATGAGACAGATAGTTAAAGTCTATGGTATTTTGCACTATATAGGCTTAAAGAAGCGCACACGTGCAGTGCTGCTTATTCATCTCTCTTTCTGGGCAAGGATGAACTAATTGTATTTATGCAGAGAGTTATGAGGTGATGCATAAAAAATCGCTGCCATATCCACAAAGTGATGTGATGTAAGAGGCACTTGCTCGGAGATAATCGCGCAACCCACGAATCTTCCGCGTACATCTTCCACCATCATATATAGACATGACATTAGTATATATCCCAGCACTGTCCGTTTGCATGTTTCTGTGCATACCCTACAGTTTGTAGTAAAAAAATGTGTATTGCATGCAATTTTTTCATACAGTCATAACCATATCGAACAAGTACCTATGTTTATTGATAGTGGCACGATATATGCCATATCTATGACGATAATAGTGAAGCACGTGTTGGGAGCCCTCACCGTACTCATCTATTTAGAAAGAGCGTTTTTGCCTGTACCCTGTATTCCCCGACGAAGGCAAGCTCTGAACTTTGAAAGATATAAACATTTTTGCATGTTTGTATGTCGTTTCTCCCCCCCGCTTATATATATATATTTATATATAATCCGGGAACGAATTAGGTAAGCTTGTATCCCATTTGTCAAGTCAAGTACTCTGTCAGGCGCTTCAAGAATCTTGATAGTCTTTAGTTTATCTCAATGACATCGCGCCTGATGCCATCTGCCGAGACGACAACACCTAGGAAAGGCACAATGGACACCCAAAGCGGCACTTTTTTTTTTAAAGTCATACCCGCTTTAGAGAGACACGAGAGGACTTGCTCCAAGCAGGCGTCGTGCTCTTTCTTGTCGCGACCGCGAACAAGGATGTCGTCCATCATATTTGCGGCACTTTCTTGATCCTCGAGAATCTTTGCCATCTGTTTCTGAAAAATATTTCGGGGCCGATGTGATACCAAACGGCAGGCAACAAAAACGGTATCGTCCAAAAGGTGTTACAAAAGTTGTCAACTCTTGAGAGTCTGGAGCAAGCTTGACCTGGTGAAACCCAGCTGTGGCATCAGACTTAGAAAAAACTTTTGTGCCGCCTACCAGACCAAGAACTTGCTCAACGGTTGGCAATATGTGGCATTCCCAAAGCACAATCTCATTCAGACGAGTCAGGTCAATACAAAGTCAATAACCACCTCAAGCTTTATGAACTACTACGAGTCCCGCACACCAAGGTGTTGGCTTATCTATCTGACGAATGACTCCTTCAGCCTCCATTCTGTCCAGTTCCCGTTGAACAACTCAATGCAACGGGATAGGGACACGTCTCAGTGCACAAAGTGAAAATGGTACGACATCAAGTTTGAGTCTGCTTTGGTACTCATTTTTCAGTGTGCCAAGGCCCTTGAACAGTTCCGCATAATGCTTCAGTTGGGGAGTGTGATCGAGTGTGGGGAACTGAAAACGGGTGGAGTGTGTGGAACGTGAAACGGGGCAAGCAGAATTCGAAGTGCGCGCCATGAATCAAGTTCGAAGTCGGCAAGGAAGAAGAAGCTGGCCCGAATGGTAATGAACAACAAGAAATGACTGAAGCGCCAATTCGACGCAGACGCAGCATGGTTCATAGCACGCGCGAGAGAGGAAAAAAGAGTCGCAGCGGTAGCGGAAGGAAGACGAGCCACGCATCAGGACGGTCGGGTTTCAGACTTGAGCCACGGCTGCTACCTCTATCGTCCGGTGACCAGAGGGGCTCCAGGACTACCTGGCTGCGCTGACGTTCCCATGGCCGTGGACAGGTCTGAGCTCTCGATCTTCGGGTTCGAGCTCAGGCGAGGCTGTCCGGCCGCGACTTTACCTCGAGGCCAGTGCGAGAAATGCAGCATCAGCTGGTGCAGTGTCCACCGGCAGTCTAGGAAGGCTGCTTCTCCTGCAGTTCGTGTGGCTGTTCGACGCCGACGCCAACTGGGGCGACAACATTAGCCCCGTGCTTCATGCCCAGGCTCCTGTGCAATGACGTGGGTGAGATGCCGCTCCTTTAACGTTCCACGACGCACTCTGTGTATAGGAACTGCGTGCTTGGGACCTTTTGTATAGGGACTAGTGTGCAGCTTCTGTATTTCTTGGTGACTGTATGCGAGAGGTGGGACTACTTATATTTTGGGTTAAGTGGTCTCAAGCTGTTGCCATTAAACATTGTCAAACGAACCCGTCCTTCGGGAAGTGTCCTGAGGTCGCTCCTCGGACTTTCCAAAACGAACTTGCACGTTGTGCGAAACAAAAACAAAAACCACAACGTTACAGGGAGTCACTAGGCCTCCTTGGAATCTAATGACTTCAAGTGCCTACAGCAAGGGGAATCCCTTTACATCGGCCGGGAGGTGGCCTCAAAATGACTCTAGCCCCAACATGCTCAGTCGCTGAAAAAATGCACCAGGTCGTGGATTCCACAGAAGCTGGATTTACTCAAGCATGAGGGGCTCATTCATGAACCCCTTTTCGTTCACTCTCACGATAACATCCCGGGGAAAGTATAAGGGGGCAGCTTTTTTACATCAGCTGTGCATGCGAGCATCACTGTAAATCACGAATGCTTGTTACCCATTTTCAAGAGCTTCACTAGCTTAAATCCTTTAGCGGTCACAGTCTGGTTCGAGGGCATATCAAACCAGATTAAAGTCAAGTCAGCGTTGCCCATGTGTCCCATCATGAAGCAATGCTGTTGACGAAGCCCTTTGACAAACCGCTGATACTCGATCAGCTTGTTATCGAAATCTTCAGGCAGTTTTTAGCACACAGAAGTACGCTGCTTCAGCGCAAAGCCTTTCCACTTCATAAACTGACGCACCCACGATGGCGAGCCCTTAAATTGCACCTTGAATTGGCGTCCCTCATATTCATATGGTGGTTTTGGGACGTTAAACCTCACAGATCGATTGAATTGTGTCCTTGTGAACCCAGCTTTACGCGTTATCTCGATAGCTTTCACACGGATGCACTCCGCTGTCTCGGGTAGCGACCTTGCATGCAGCCCCCAGATGAATTCGTACTAGTAGCATTTCCAGTTTGAGGTGCTCTGCAGGCTGTCCATGAAATGAACTTTTTTTTTTCCTTTTGGTTGCTGCAAGATTTGATGCGCTGCTTTTGGCTCCTCCAATATCAGACGCTTTTCTCTGATGAACCAAATTCCTGTTCCATTGCCAGGTTACCATGCACTTCAGCATACACAATAATTTTTTTTCTTATAGCCTAATGTAAACTGCTGTCAATTACTACTCATTTCTGAAAGAAATAGAAAAAGAAAACAGCAGACTAAGATAACCAAAGCTAAATGGTATCACTAGTACACTGTAGGCCTAGTCTAGCTTTGTCCAACGGCGCCGCTGCTGATGCTCACACGGTGGCAATGGAGGCTTTCGACTTCAGCTGCTCATTGTTGCGAGACTTCAACATTTTTTTTTGCCAATGACTGGTACATAAGACAAGGATACTGTCTTGAGCAACATCACTGTATTTAAGTGACTATGACACAGCGGTGGCCTGAAAAAATGCCTCTTCTTGCTCAAAAAGCGCACTGAGTCATAGCCACTCCTGCAGACGGTCACAAAACACCGAGGCCTATTCGCTCACAAGGCACGTGACATTATCCCGGCACATAGATAACCAACAGGAGCAAAAAAAGGCCATGCTTCGGTGCCTCTGCCCAACGTTACTAGATTTAGTAACGTTGCCTCTGCCAGCGTTACTCGCATTTCTCGCCCGGCTTGCCCTCAGGCCGACAGCGCTGCGCACGCCACTCTGTGGGCCCTGCCGAAAGGGGTCAGGCACTAAGGCGAACTTTGACGGTGAACTTTGACAACTGAAAGTATTTAGTGACACTAGGTTAGGCGGGGTAGGTAGTGCCATCTCGCGGGGCCCAGCTTAATCAAGCAAGCAGAACCATGGGCTTTGAGATTGCACAAAATTGTTTAATGGCCATTGTTGCTACTGTGGCTCCTGCTACTTCCGTTCTGCTGCTACTGGTTTTCGTGGCCGCATAGTAAAGGTGGGCAACTTTGGGCACAAAAAGTGACGTCTAAAAGACCGCTTTCTAGCATTTGATTTGAATTGCACTAACGGGATGCGCACCATTAAAACGTGATTTTATTTCAAGATAAGCACTTCCTTGGCACAAAAGTAGCACTACAAGGTTTTTGGACCAATATTTCGACAATCAACGTCAATTTAATATTCGCCTTAAATGTCCCTTTAAGTGTGCAACGCCTAAACTACTGCTGCAAGTCAGAAAAGAACATTCTCAATTTATCTTTTTAAAGTTGAACTATTGAGGGTACACTAATAAAAAATATGCGAGAAAAAAAACCTTTTTCTTGACATTGACCATCCAGCCGAGAACAGACATGGCACAGACACGGAGCATGTCTCCCTTCCTAGAATCACCAGCTATCTGAAAAGACAATCAGTACTATGAAGCCACTTTCATTTTGTTCAACAGAAATCTAGGCAAATGAAACAAGGATGAGGACATCGTGCTATTCTCTATGATACCTTATGCAGCTCACTACATGACACAAAATACATCGACTCCAGTGACTTCTCCCGTTATGAACTCACTTATTGCAACAGCAGTTACTTAGTTCAATGCCTCTAATACACAAAATTCTTACAATCATATTGAAAGTACTCCAGCCAGATGTGACAATAACATCATGCCAACAATGGCATGACGATGATAGCACAGCGTACAAAAAGCAAACAGTAAACTGGCTTTCAAGACTTGACTGTTCTAGTAAAAAGAAAGCAGCAAAATAAACTGTTTAACAACACACATTTAGTACTCCTGTCATTTAGTACTGCATTATTTCTAGGAACAAGAGCAAAAAACTACACTACTGTCATTCCTCAGTATGACTTTATATCAATAAGTTTAACAAGTTTTTTTGCTTTTGATCCTGCAAATGTTAGAAAGCTGAAGTAGATGTGACACCTAAACTGGTTTATAAATAAATACCATTGCACATAACAAAACACAAGTTGAAACAGTATAATAAAATGCTTTGTATGTCTTTATAACTGGCACAAGGAAAGGAGATGAGCGAGGGCTTCTTTTGCCCCATCAAAAGCATGTAACCCTGCCATTACGACACCAATTTCAAAAATTCTCATGACTGCGTCTTCATTATATACCTGTGTGCAACTGCCACACCACAACTAGACAACTAAATTTCGACCTCTGGATGATTTAGGGGCTTTTTGAAGCGGCACCAAGGAGGAAAATGATTTTTCTTTTATCAAGAAATCATTTTTTCATACAATGTGGGGATAGTGCGGCTGTGCTAGCACAGGACTGTGTTGGTGGGCAAAACATGAAACGCCTTTGCCCTGGAGTGGGCCCAGTCAGGCTGATGCTATCTTTCTCACAAGTAATCATTGATTGACCTCACTATCAGAGTTTATTGTCAGACAAATCGATTGCCTCAAAAATTTTTCAAATCCATCAGAAACAAGTGAAGCTACAGAGATTTGTTGCATGCTTTAAATACTTTCTCCCTTTTGTACCGACGAGCGTGCTTGATGCTAACAAGGTGTAATAATATGAGGAAAAGAAGCTACGTCACGGGTGCGCCATAACCTTGATCCCAATGAAACCCAATTGCCCTCTTGAGGAGCGATCGTTGAGTGCAGTAGTGGTGCAATTATGTAAATATTGCAGACATTAAAGCACAGCACATAGTAGCACCACTTGTAAGGAAGCATATCTGATCCAAACACCACTCTTGGTTTATGCCAGCTATCGCCCATTAGCAAGAACCTGTAGTTAGATGAGAGATCTGCTGCGTGACAGTCATACAAAGATGCAAGTACAGATCTGTATGAAGAGACCACCACACTTCAGAAAGTAAAAACTACGCATGCGCTCCCTTTAGAACTCTCTTTGCCGCACATGTTTGCAAGAACTCTCTTTGCCGCGCATGATTGCAAGATTCGGCTGAGCTGCTCACAGCTCTTTCTGCTTTACGCTGTATTAAAAAATTTGTACAAACTTTCCAAAGCAAAAATTCAAAAATTCAGAACCTGTCCCAGGTCTTTCAAGGACTCAAAGCGGCATGCAAAGATGGAATTTTCCCCTCTAAAATTCTGAGAAATGACTCACTTTATTGGACTTATAATAAATAAATGGATATCACAATTATAACAATACATCTGGTCTTATTAGCTTCTGAAAATCACAGCACACAATTAAAGCTTACAAAAGTTGTCGCGATTTTTTCAGAATAGGCTTGAAGTTCCCCAAATACAGTAGAACCTCATTAATTCAAACTTGATTATTCCGAAATCCCACTTAATTCAAAGTGTTTCCGCAGTCCTGTATTTTGCTATGCAAGTTTCAGTGAATAATTTGAAGCCGCGGCCGACACCAGTCCGGTTAATTCGCAAACTTAGTGTGCCATGTGCCAGTTCCAGATCCCGATTACGCTGCAAATTTGCGGAAACGACGGCCCTTAATAGCCACAAGGCAATGAAACATGAAGATACTAATGAGTGGCAGCTGAAGTGCCCCAGCCTCGCTACTTCCAGCGCAAAAAAAGTAAGGGGGGGAAAAAAAGAACTGCCTCGTGATCAACCAAAGCATACACCTGTGAAAAACAAGACATGCTTCACTGCAATGCAGCGGTGACACGCGAGCAGCATATCTCATGTTTCTCGCAACGCCGAAGTGTCATGGTTTGCTCATTCTTTCTGGAATAGTGAAAAAATTAACAAAGAATAGCTTGGCGGAATCGGCGATGTATGTGAACCTCCGATTGCTGGTTACACTTTCACACTGCAGGCGGAGTTCTTGCCAGCAACACCTACTTTGAAAACTAAGGTCAAAAGTTTCAAAGATAATTTTTTTCCAGCCAAAACACATTGTGAGTTTCGCCATACTGGCCGTTATTAAATTCCTAATTATACCAGAGAGAATATGCGAATGGTCGCATCACAACGGGCTGGCGCAGCGAGGAGCAGGTGATATACTGCCCGCGTGTCACTGCTGTGTTGCAGTGAAAATGTCTTGCTTTCCGCAGGCGCACATTTGAATTTATCAAGACCGCGTTTTTTTTTTTTTTTTTTTGGTGGCAGCAGCGAGGCTTACCATTGCCCCGTGTTTGCAACAAAATTAGAAACAGGTATCATGAAAAACATAACCCTTCGAGCCGCAAGCTAGCCGGCACAGCAAATGACAATCTACGATTACTTTAAATAGTTTTAAGTTTTTTGCATCCCACTTTTTATATGTTCTGTTCATTTGAAAACCCGCTTAATTCGAAGATTTTTTGCAGCCTCAGTGACTTCGAATTAACGAGGTCTTACTGTACATTCAAAACGTCCAGTGTAGTGTTATTTCACTTGTATAAAGGTAAATAAATGTATCCCTCAATTATGTTAACAATGACTAGCCTGGATTACATTGCAAGTCCTAAACAGTACAAAAAAATGTTTGCAACACACAATGAACTCTTACTACAGTGGTTGAAATTTCTCAACTACAAGCTTTGTGAAGCCCACAAAATATATTCAAAACATTCAGTATAATGTTCTTTCACTTATACAAAGATAAATAAATGTATACAAGGTACGCACTTGACATCACCTGTGAGGGGTGCTACCGTCGAGGTCACCATTTTGCAGGACAAAAAACATGCAGCACATGCTTGGGCATTTTTCTTTAATGTGGTTTGGAAGAGAAATGTAGGCAGCTATCAGGAGAGCGCGAAGCATTTCGCTAGAGAAGGTGGGCACCTATGCAAGCACAAATTTTGCTTTTCCCACAAGTCTGTGGCTGTCTCAGATACAGGGGCGACATAGCGAGAAGAAAGTTTGACTGCTGCCAAGTGAGAAGTTTGGTCAGTTCAGTTAGCGCTCCTCTTCAGTGTGTGCTGGACCTTATTTTTTTGTAACACAAATCGTTCTGCTTTGACTGGGCATTTGAGCAGTTACTTGGCGTAGGTGAAATGGTCTGTGTAAGCGAGAGATCATTTTCATGTCACCACTATATAGAAATGGCGTTAGATGCAGATTTTGTTTTTGTGCAGTTTCTAACATGATCACTACTGCTAGTCATAATAACCTGTCACCTCGAAGCCAGTGGAACATCATATAGTAGCCTGAAATAATTTTTCCTTCACCTTATTTAAGCCACACCAAATGTGCAGCTGCTTTCCCGGCGCATGTATAGGCCTTGAAAGTGAGTGGCACGGTGCGGTAGAATCGGCCGTGGCCACCTGTGGAATTTCACTGCCTCCGTGCAATTGGGACCTTCCAGCCCACAATCTCGGACGCCATGCTCCACGCGCCGCAGTTTTCAAGAAATAAACTAAAACTGGGACAGTTGTTCATTCACTTTCATCCTGTGCATACCTGCTCAATATTTTTGACTGATTGATTGATTGATATGCGGGGTTTTACGTCCCAAAACCACCATATGATTATGAGAGACGCCGTAGTGGAGGGCTCCGGAAATTTCGACCACCTGGGGTTCTTTAACGTGCACCCAAATCTGAGCACATGGGCTCAGAGCATACTTTTTCGAGCATACTTCTTTGTGTCTAAGCAGCAAGCTGCAAGTGTCAAGCTGTGGCAGTTGTTCATTAGTTCCTGTCCTTGTGCGTGTTCTTTTCGTGTGCTCTTTGTACTTAAGTGGCAAGCTGCATGCATTGAGTTGTGTGTCAATCTTTGTGAGACATCCTATTTTCTTGCTATCGCATTCATGGCTTCACCCACACCCCAAAACTGACTTTTCTTTTTCATGTGAAGTTCTGCAAAATGGAACCATGTGTGCCGGCACCAAATTACTGCTTCTGAAGTGGGAGCTGACAAGCCGATCCACCACATTTAGGAGGCCGCAATGTCGATGTGAGAGTGCGCTGCTTAGGAAATTCAAGGACTTTAATAGACTGAAAAAAATTCCAGGACTTTCAAGGGCCTTGAAAATGCATTTTTCAAATCCAAGGGTTTTCAAGGATTTGAAGGACCTGCATGCATGCTGTACACATTCTTGTCACCAAGCACAGGGGGTGATTCGAGCCCTTTCAAATTTCAGTCGAACATTCCAGAAAACAATCACCGGTCTTTCATTTTTGATTGTTTTAGATGAACAAGTGGTTTCTTCAGGGCTTACGCAACTGATGAAGCACAGTTAGCCACTTCTATTAATTCACAGCTATTTCCTTTCATCTACAAATCAGCCAGCAACCTGTATTACTGTCTTGAAGTGGCAGACATCTGTGGTGTTAACAGCGAATTGTTGAATAACGCTCTTTTCTATTCCAAATCAGTTCTGTGGAAACCCGCAAGGTGGCGGATGGGTTATAAAAGGAAAAATAGACAACTGCCTAGTTTGTAGCCCAGAGAAACAAGGATATCCATGCAGATTTTCCAGAACAAATGCTTCTTCGTTGACGTAAAATTGAACCTAGTCTAGGCATCAAATGCCTCACTCAAGTCTCTCTTTTATAAATAACCCTTTGGCCTCATCACAGGTTTCCACAGGACTAATTTAAAATATCCAGTGTCCACGCGCTTCGAATTGTCAATAAAGACGACCTCATGCTGCCAAATACTGGCATTCTGCTCAGCTCCATTGGTAGAATGATCGTCTTGACAAGGTATTACTACTAGGTTCATCCCCAGGCCAGGACAAATTTTTAATAACTAAACATCTTTCTCTCTGAAAAATCCACATTGATTTCCTTGTGGCTTCGTGCCATAAACTATGTGGTTGTCAACTTTCCCTTTCATAGTGCCCTGTTCTATTAAGACAAGATAACACACTACACTAATATACCACAGAGGCAAGCACAGGCTTTCTGCCCATACAATTTTAATGTGAGGTTTTCATGCACCTGAGTTGAGCCATTGAAAGCAAGGCATTGGCATTTCGAACTGTCCCCATCACAGAGAAGTGGCAAGTTAGCAAGGGTGCAATACTAAATTACATAGTAAAAACAAGAATAAAGACATGCATAATTTTACAAATCACCCTTTCAAAGATGGACATACCTCTAAGCACAGCTTGATCAGAGGCCTCATATGAGGCACAAGGACGGCAACGTCAAAGTAAATGAGTCCATCAAAAAGCTCCAACGCTTCTACAGCTTTGTCCTGGTCCCATAGAGCAAAAAAGATTTGAGTAAAATAATGATCACATTTTCACCCATGTTTAACCATTTAATGCTTGAATTATGAAACTGCCAAACAAAATAAAAGTTGTTTTTATTTGTCATCTTTAAATAGCAACCTTCAAATGATTCTGCAGTTAAATGATCTGAAATGCAACTTTAATGCATACTTTTATGTACGTCACGAATTCACCATATGCTACAGAAGTGAGAACCCTGCAACCAAAAAACGTACTTCAGAACTACATCACATTTTGTGTGCCACTTTTTGGTTGCCTACACACCAAATGAGCAAAACTATTGAAGATAGAACTTATGTCACCCAGACTAGAAAGATTGAAGAAGTGAGAGCTGTTGCATGCGCTTCACATCCTCTGCCATCAGCGACAAAACAATTGGTTCTAGCATAAAGTACCTTAAACGAGACGGTGCTAGATTTTTAATGCTGGAAGCTGCATTCCCCCCCGAGTACTTGACAGCCGGCATTAAAAATGGCATGCATTACTTGCTTGCTCGAAGTTTTTTGGTATGTTGCAAACTCACGACATTCGGCAGTTATGGGTTAAACAAAAGTACAAAGATAATGTTTTTGCTTTCAGCTTATTAAAAAAAAGTGCACTTTTTCTAAAAATTTCAGATGCAAGAACTGTTACAACACTCACTATGGCAGATGGTGCTGCTAAACTGAATTAGTTGATGATAGAAAAGTGAACCATTTTATGTGCAGAATGGCAGTGAATGTGCCAAAAAAATGTACCCATGAAGAACTCTAGATACAAAGGCAATATGGACTAGAAAATCTGTACACTGCATTCATAGTTATCAGTATTGTAACTCATGGTGTATTTAGTTCTTTGCAGAAGAGTGAGTTTATAACTCATGGTGTATTTACCTAGTTCTTTACAGAAGAGTGAGTTTATGAGACGTGGAGAAACACATCCTAGCGTGCCAAGGTATAACACTCGATTAGACAATTGAAAATAAATGTGTGATACAAATGAACAAAATCTGTAACAACTTAACGTGCTTTTGGGCATCAAAAGCACAGTGGTTTGTGCGACTTTGCTGTTGAGCCATGTATTTCTGTGAGTGATAAAAAAAAATGGTTCTTGATTTACCTATGTAATAATTAGCCTTTACGCAGGAGAATCAATGCGACATCATGCTACATGAGTTATCATTTTAACCCCTTCACTGCGAATTTCCAGATAACTTGGGCAGTGACACACGCACAAGCCCAGCCTCTTCTGTGTACACTCGTTTTGTCTTTTTAAATCTCTCCCTGTTACTCGTGAGACAACTCTCATAAAAAAAAATAATGCGCACATGTCCCATCATCTATGGAGAAAACATAAATATAACAAGTAGTGCACTTTTCAACAACACATGAAACGTATGATCTCACATCAGTGCCAACTCGGGTCACTTTGCCAGCATCTCAGCAGGGCAGCCATGGTGAGTTAGCAGGCCACGTACGCATGCTATTTGAAAAACTAAGAAATTCAGCAGTTATTGATGAATATAGACTCTGAATAAAATGGATAATCACTCAATCAGCCACCCTGAGTAAGTGGCTAATCATGATTTTCATAGTCAGTCCATTGCTTTCAATAGTCCTATAATAATTAATTAGTACTGCTTTTTATTTGATGAGATAATTCACAATAAAAGTGCTTACATGTCCTGAAGCACCTCCTACCACATTGGCAGCACAGAAATGCCACATAACATTAAAAAAAAAACGTGGCAAAGAGTGTAGAGCAGCGCCCAAATAACCCGGCGCTGTTAAACATTAAAAAAAAACATAAAATTGATATAACAAGCAGAGCCAACGTGCAATGAAGACTTGTCTTGCACAGTGCATTGCCCCTTTAAGAATCGTGTTGCCTGACAATTCCCCTGCTGCAAGGTTGCCCCATGTTTATATAACACCACAGACATCAGGAAAAAGAATAAAAATATAAATATAGCGGAAACGTATCTACAAATTTTCTATGTTATATGAGAGCAACTGCAACACCACATATATTTTACTTAACTGCCATTACAGTCGATTGAACAGAAAGTGACAGGGTGTCCATTGTTGCTCTATTAACATTATGCACTGAGAATAATTAAAAACCTTTTAACCTTCCATGCATAATAACATGCGTGTGCCAATACAGCAACAGCACTACGATGCTGTGTTCTACCATTCTGCTGTTGCACATAATCTGCACCCCCTTCTCAACTGTTGTGGAACTAAACATAGGTGCTCGACTAGTGTGCTGCTGACGCAAGTTCATAGGGGCTAGAATACTTTATTTTTCTGGTAATAGTACCCTCTACTCTCACAGTGTTGTAAAGAATTAGTGAAATGGAGTGTCAATAAATTATCCACTCACCTCATCTGAACCTGCTAGTCTTTGGATAACGTCCATGACAAAAGGAATTAGTGCTTGGAAATAATTCTGGTTGACGAATGAAAAAGTGAATGTTCCTTTAATATTTTGGAGATATCAAATTTTTGTTTTATTTATTAAAGTTCTACAAAATATTGTCTATAAAATGTGAAAATGTTATGTACTATAATAATATAAATACAGAATACACATTATCATGTTCAAGGCCTTTATGGTACAGTAATGTCTTTTACAATACTAATGCGTTTTTGCATTTCATCAGTTTTCACAGTGGTCACAGCACAAGTCTGCCCAAGTTACTAATGACATATGATCAGCAAGCATTCAGCTGGGAATGAGATTTACAAATGGTACAGATTTGAATAAAAAAATATAGCCTAGCTAAGTACATGACCAGAACTGCTTTGACGATATACCTATGATCTGTTAGCATACATATATGTGTTAATGAGTGCCCCTTTGAGGTACCATCTTGTAGCTCACCTATGAAACTTCAAAGCATTAGGACAATCCCATGTAAGAAACTTTGGACTATTTACTAATAAATGTTCTCCTGTCCTCTACTGTCTACTTTTTCTACAGTTGTATGCTGCATTGTTTTACCTTAAGTTAAAAAGCTTTAATCGCAGAAAAATTTTGCACATAACACATTTTCAAACAGCGGCATGAAAATTCACTTGCCGATTGAGTTCTGGCCCCAAAACTCCGCTGTTATTTCATCAATTAATTTGACTGCCATCAGGAGCTGAATGGGTGCTATTTCCCTGTATTTGAGTTTTCTTTACCATTTGAACGCACTCTAGAGGCAGTAATCTTAAAAAAACGTTTTCTAAGTTGTACTACTTGAGATGAATGGGTGCTTAAAACCAACACCATTCCAGGCCATGTGTAAAGTTTACTAGTATTTTTGCACACTGCAAGGAATGATATAGATCAGATATCAATACATTCAACACCAAATCAAGCAAAATCTCGTGATCATATTCGAAAGGTGTCGGCTCAATTCTACTGCCTTTGGGCTACACAAGTGATAATGAACAACCACACAGCACGACAATGATAAAAAATTTAAGGAAATCAAAGCTTGCTAAGTGTGAAACACCGAGGAATTACAACCAGGCAACAGAGGAGGTACCACCTGCTCATAAAAAGTGAATCCTTGGCAATCGTGGTCCAACAAAAGAAACTAAAGCAGGCACACCTGTAGTAGCTACTTGTGGTCTATGCCCATAAGAAAATACATTTTTTGAGAGTTTTTTAATTATGAGGATTGTTCTTTTTTTTTTTTTGAGAATTCCCCATGCAATTATCATGCTGTTAATAGATGAAATGGCAAATAGAAGTACTACTAGTCCCACAAAATAGGTTAGGGAAGAGGGGAAGACATAGGTATGTATTTGGGTTTAGCCTGTATGGAACATCACACCAGTTAACTTCCTTTTATTTTGAAACAGATGTTCTTAGGCCACTACAATGTAAAACATCAAACAAAGCAATGATCCCATTTTAAATCATTGAGGTCTCATTTTAAACAACAGACTAAAGAAGTAAAATGCTAAGTTAAACAAAATACCGATACTCACAGAATTATCTGTGCCAACGAATCTGGCTAGTGCTGTCATAGACCTAACAAAAGAGGAAAGCAAAATACATAAAATTAAACTGGCGGTACAAAGCCAACTTACTTTTAAGTGTGGACTTACTTGATCACATAGAAGCAAATTTCGTCATCACCACACCTTTGCAAACATTCACCAAAAAACTTGAAAAGTGGCCTAAGGTGATGTGAGAACACTTCCGGTGCGACAGAAGAAATGATACTTGTCAAGTGAAAGCCCAGCTAAGGAAAAAAAAAAAATGAATCTTGACACAATGCACAATAATAGATTACGAACAAAGTAATGTAGTGAAAGATAGGCGTGAGGAGGAGGATAAATCAAGGATTTATTTCTTTGCTAGACACAACCTAACAAAGCCAACTGACCGTGAAGCTATGGAAGGTGTGTACAACATTATTTCTAGTCTATATCTGCAGTGTAGTAATTATGACATAAACGAAAAGAATCAATGTGGGTAGTGTAGAAAATGCGAAGGAGAGATCCAGACCTAGACATCTGGCTACATCGAAGGCATTATAACAACTGAACGAGCCAGTGTCCGTGGCCATTGCTCGTGCCCATATCCCTTGGTCTTCCTTTATTTGCAACAGGTAGAAAAGTAACTTTGCCACTGGTACAGGCCAAGTCTACAACCTTGAAATAACATGTTCGTTACTCTGTCAATTAAGCTTGGGTGGCAGTCATTTTCTTGTTAATGTTATTGTGTATTCCTGCAAGAGCATGTAATCCTGGATATGTTAGGCACTGCTACTTATAGCCATGACGGCGAATGTGGAACACTCCTTTTATGCCAGCTGTCAAATCACACCTACCCTTAATTTGTATCTTACTATACGCACTGATTAACAAAAGGTTTGTAAAAACAACCCTCCGCTGCTTTTTTAACACTTTCAGAACCGCCCCATAAACCGTCGGTCATATCGACTGATAGTTTTCAACGCCTTTTCAAACTAAATTTTTTTTGCGCTTTGACATGTAGCATTTTCTGCACGGTGTTTCTAACATTATTCTTTCATTTCCGGAGGAGGTCATTTTTTTTTTTTTTTTTTCTCGAGAGTATCATACCTACTTGTGCGTGCCCTTATCTTTTGTTGTGAGCAGAAAAGGTGCCAGTATTTCATTTTCTACTATCTTGCTTCCCTTCCTTTCTACAATGACCTTCTCACCCAGTGTGGCTTTAAATGTGATGCAATAAAGCAATACGAGGTTCTTTTTCTCGGCACGAGCTTGCCCCCTTTACTCAGTCAGTCACCATGACTGATACAGCAACGGTGCTGTTGTGACTCTTGTTCGTGGGCGCCATGCTGGCCATGAGAAGCATAACCGGGCTGCGTTCGCATGTCGGGAAGCCCCAGCGCTCTTATCTCAGAACGAGCGTCAAGCGGCAAGAAGCAACAAAGGGATTATAATGTGGCAATTTCGACCGTTCGTGAGCCAATATCCCTACATGGCTTGTTTGGTGAGATGGCAAGGCAGACCGACCACGAGGTCGTGTGTAAGCAATTAAAGTCACTAATCCTTTGCTGCCCTTCCAGGGAGAAACGGCAGCAACAACCCAATCGCCAACTTGTTCCGTGAAGAACTCCACTTCCCCTCTCTTCAGTCAAACTGACCGGAGGAGCATTTGCATCAAGAGGTGCAATGACTATTTGGTGACCGTGTGTCCGACGCCATCGTGGCTGGCGTCATGTGTGTGATTGGTGTTTCAATCACGGAGGAGGAGCACAACGCTGCAATGTTCTGAACGTGGCTCTGAATCGTGGTTTGACGGTTCATTCATCAAGCTTGTGGTTTGCGGAACTCTAACCTCTCATGCTCTAAATAGTTGTAAATAGTGCCAGTAAACCTGTTTGTTTTTCGATTCCCCAACTGGTGAGCATCGTTTCCTCCACCCGAAGTTGCGCAACACTACCACAGGAGTACGGGTCCGACAAAACCCTGGCGTATCGGTATCCCTCGTCAATGGGGAAGCGTCGGGTGGGACCCCGGTTCGCAACAGCACACAGTTGCAGTTTATTTCGGGTGCAGTTGCGTTAGCTGATCAAGAGAATGGTGTCAAGTTCGCGACTTGGCACTCTTGAAAAACGACACGTAACTCATGATTCCGCTACTTGGACAGATGAAACAAGCAGCAAAGAGTAAAAACCTCCCCCCCCCCTCCCCGACTTCGAAAGCTCAGATTTCAGTTCGAATGGCAAGTCACGGGGTGATCAGCCTAGAAGCTCAACAAGTAGACAAAGCTTAGTCTTTGTTTTCGTTCAGCTTGCTCTTGAGAAAGCTTGCATGATCTTTTATGTGTTCTTATCTCTATGTGGCAGAGTTTCAACAATAGATTAACAACGCAGACACGAATCGTCCTTGCACTGCGACAGGCACCTGGTTTATACATGACCGATTACGTGGGTGTGGCACTAAGAAGCCAACCAAAAAAATTTCTGACGGCCCTTGACTTTTTTGCCTTTTTTTTCCCATATGCAAGTGATCACTACAATATGCAAAAACACAAACAAATACAGCTAGATGAAAATACTTGGAAAAAACAGACGCACGCTTGTTCGGATGGGTCATGGGAAGAGGTGACACCGAATGAAATGAAAAAGTTCATTGGCCTTATAGTCTACATGGGCCTCGTCAAGGTTCCATGTCTGAAGCTTCACTGCAACGTCGGAGAACTCTACAGCAGCCTACTTCCACAGCGAATAATGCCTCGATGCTGTTTCATAGCGCTGCTCGCTATGCTCCATGTCGCTGACTTGGATGATGTGAGCCAGCAATTGAGAGGGAAGCTCAGGTTCGTGTGGTGGCTAATGGAGCATGTGATTCAGATGTCGGCAAAGCTTTCTCAACCGAAACGCAATCTTTCCGTCGATGAACGGATGGTAAAATCAAAAGGGCGATTGGGCATCAGACAATATTTGAAAGATAAGGTCACAAAATGGGGCTACAAGCTATGGGTTTTAGCTGATCCTGGAATCGGATACACGGTACGTTTTAGTGTATATACCGGTAAGCGGGATCACCCAGGACCTCATGGATTAGCATTCGATGTACTTTGCCAGCTGCAGGCAGAATATCTCGATCCAGGGTATGGAATATTCATGAACAACTTCAACACATCGATGTGTTTGTTCAGCCACCCGATTGACCGAAGAACATTGGCTTGCGGTATGACGACAAAAGACTTCCGAGTATTTCCTGGTCAACAAAAAACCCCACGATGCATACCTGCCAAGTCTCCCGGATTACCCGGGAGACTGTTTCTCCCGGTTGTACGGGTCATAGAAAAATCTCTCGGAAATCCAGTTTTGTCCCACCCATCCAGTGCTTTGTCTGGCCACTTGAGCAAGCTGTCTGACCATGTAGTAAAAAGAATTCTTTTTTTTAGCGATTATAGCAAGGTTCAACTCTGTTCAATGTAGTTTTCGAGAGGCGAAAATAACGCCAGAACATGCAGCCCGCGGAGCAGGAGCAGCGAAATCGCGCATGGCTATGCAGTTCTTGAAAGCCTACACATTAGCTAAAAAAAAAAAAGCTCCATTGTAGCAGAGGGAGCGCAGTGGCCCTGTTGTACAGTTGATGCTTTTGCTGGCTTTTAAATGTGCCAGCATTCCCACACCAGAGAGAATAAAAAAGGAGAGCAAAAAGGGAGCGCCTCCAGGCTTGCTTGACGTGACTGATGAGCGCATTTGCAAACTCTTTGTGGCTGTTCTACTGCAGCCAACAGTCAGCACTTTACATTGACATGATAGAAAGCGGCACAAGAACTCGGGCGGACAAAGAGGGGCAGGGGGGGGTGACACAGGGGGGGTGACGCAGGGGCGGAGGGGGTGACGCTGCGACGCACCTTCACTCTCCCCCACCTGTACCCGGAAGGCTTATGCCCACACCTCTCCACACACTTTCTGTACCTTTCCTTTATGCGACTCCTTTCCCCTCTCCTCAAGCTGCTAAGCTGAACCCTGCTTCCACAAAAGTTCCTCGAACCTATATAAAACGGCAAGGCTTTAACCAGCCGCTTCAGTCAGTACTTTATAAACTTTTTTTTTCTCTTTTTATAATTCGACCGTTTTATTTTTTTTCGTCACTGTCTCTTTTATTCCCAAACCCCCTTATTGAAGGCTCCTACCCCATATTCTTGCCTTTTTCCTCGAACATTCCTGGTTTTTTTTTTTTTTTTTTACTCAACTGCAAGGGTTACCGAAAAGAGTGCCTGACACTGCCTGTTTTCTCGGCGAGCTGGGGGAAGGCGAGTGGTCGGCAGGACTGTACTATGGTCCTTTGTCCAACAAATTAACTCGTAAGCAAGCGAAGACAGGCCTCGCACGCAGAGCGATGTTATCGCATGTGCCCTTTGCGCGACGGTGACCGCCGGGTAGTTTCATCTCTGCTTCAGCTGCGTTGGTCCCTAGCGCTAGCTTTTACTTGCACGTAAAACAGATGAATGATGCGTAAGCGAAGTTATCAAGTTGGACTCTGTACAGATCAGCGGCGACCGCGAGATTCCGCTGACAGTGTTCATATAATTTCTATCGCAATACCTGCCCCCCCCCCCCCCCCCCCTTGAGTATATCTCCCGGATAGCGTTGCTCCGAACTTGGCAGGTATGACAAAATTGGTGAGGCAGCTCAACCATCAGACTTCAATAGAATATGCCTCAGTGACAATTAGCTTCGATACAAGCTAAAAATTGCTACAGTTCAGGCAGAAGAGAGTGATTTTAACAGAAGCAGTAAGCCCTGTTATAAGTATCACATGCTACTATGTATTAGGATGTGTCTCAGTTGACAAGAGAAACAAAAAAGTATATAATGCAAGCACTTCCATAAAAGTGAAAAAAAGCAGCAAAAGTGAAACATAAGGCTAGTAAGAGAAGATGGTTTCTATTTAAACACCACTGTCATACAGTAAGTCTTAATCATATTTTACTAATTTCAGTAAAACAATAATATAAATAAAGTTGGAAAAAAGCAAAAGAGATCCCAGAACTCACTGCACGTTCCGCTACATTGCTGCTGTGCATAAGCCTATCCAAGAGCTCTTCTAGCTCTGCCCATCGTGTCCTTTGGTATTCGTGCTTGGCTATGACTGCCACCAACTGGCCAATCGCCAAGATAACTGGCTGTCTGTGTTGTAAGACAGAGGCCCCAAGACACACAGTCAACAACACATTTTCAGCTCAAATAAGGCACATTAATTATAGGCAAGAAGAAAGCAAGTCACCACCCCATAAGAGAAAAAAGAGATAAGATGCACTATGCTAAAAGAAGAAAAAGCACTTTATAACACAATAAAGCCTATTATTAAAAGCTTTGTGAATAATGCCCAATTAGTTGACACAATCCAAGAGATCCAATTAAATTTTACATATGAACAGATAACCATACACAAGCAGTTCTGCCACACTAAATGGTCAAGGGCCTACAGGTGAAACTCTGCAGTTCATTGTCAGGCCTCTTCCAACAATGCAACACACCTACAGCGGTGCACTGTCAGGCGTTACAGGCTGTCCAAATATCGCCAAAAAACTACAACACGCAAGATCAACAACAAAAATAAACAACCAATGTGTGTTTCCTGCTTAGCCGTTTTTCTTTCGCAGTGCTCACAACTTATAAAATGTTTTTGGGCTGCAACGGCTGTAAAATTGATAGAAATTTCAGAGCCCGAAAGTTTTATTTATATGATCACTATACGTAACAACCCAAGAAAATTTTCCTGTTCCTCATATGTGCACCATACAATTTTCTCAAAGCATGAACATCTGCTCTATAAGACAAAAACTGCGCTTTATTGAAACAAGAAAGTAATATTATAGATCAACCACTAAAAAAGAAAGGATGCTTTGGATGTGGTCTATACAGAAGCAATTTGCTGGATACACTGCATATGCAGGACACCCTGTGTACTGCAATCAAATTTATGCAACACTGATGAGCTTTTGGAGAGAAAAACGTTATACATATTTAACTGTGCGGAAATAAGAATAAAAACAAGTTAAACCCCATCTGACACATTGAGAGTCACTGCTGTACATTAAAGGCGACAAAAAAAAAAGCAAAATATTTACGGACACACAAGTATGGCAATGGCTGAATGTTTGAAAATATCTGTACTTTTAGAAAGCCTGGTGCTGTAATAAACTGTTGTAATATCTTGCAAATTTAAAAAAAAAAACATACTTCGATTATGCTGCGACCCATCAGATTCCACAAATAACAAATTTTATGCCTTGCTCTGTGGTGGCTAAAGGAAGATTAAGGCAGATTCTTAGGCAGCAAATACAAACAAATTTAACCCCTTCTGTGCAATGAATAAGCTGGGTTCTCTAGCACAATTCAGGTAAAGTGACCCAAGACAAACTCAGCTCACTGATGGCAGTTCTCTTCATCTCACACCACCAAAGATGAGCTGGCTTCATCTAAGCACTTTGAAATACATTTGGTAGACGATAGCACAAGGCATAAAAAGCAGGACAACTTCATTCGGTGGCGGAATTGAAACACACATTGGTACCTAGGGTCTTCAAATACCAAAATTATGTAAATTTCAATGCACATTTCATTGACTTCTTCACATTCCACTCAAGAAAGCTAAAACAAAACCTGACTTTAATAATACCCAAACTTTGAAGATTATGAGTACAAATCGTTGAGTGAATGTGGCAATGGTTGAGGCAACAACACCACAAGGCATCGAACTTGTGGGTGCACTCAGCTTGATATAAAGTAAGAATGATAAGATGAGACCTAAACCAACAATTTGTAGGATCAACTGCTTGATGCAGTATCACTCAATTCACAACATCACTTGATTGAAGTGTGCCTAAAGCAAGGTATATATAAAGTTCTGGTCCCTTTTTATCTGTGTCATGGTGTATTTGCTTCACATCTGAAGTTTCTGCTATAATTCATTTTTCGATATTGATCGAGATTTGAAAAAGTAAACACTTAAAAACTCCACTTTTTTATATGAAGATTCTCTACAATCAAAGAAAAAAAGCCAATAGTGATCATATATAGGGACGACAGCGCTGCATGGAAGGGCTCACATTCAACCATATCATTTAATTTGACATTTTCTCAGTTCCAATTTAACATAACATAGTTACAGCCACACTAATTGACTAAAAGTGCTGCCAGTACTGGATTTGACATTGTGAGAAGATCTGCTGATTTTCAGAATACCTAACTACTGCCATCTGAATCTCAGAACTGAATACATTTATGGCCTTATCAGGTGTCATTTTGAATTATCGGCCTTGTAAATGCTGATATTTTTTTTTTCCCCTATGCAAGCTTTGCTGCGCAATTTTTCCCCACAAATGTAAGTCTTCAGCAGATCAGCGATTTTGCATAAATATAAATGCTTGAAAACCAGTGACATTATAATGTGTGTCTCAATATTCCATGACCTGTGATCTCGTGTTATGATCAGACAACAGATTCCAGCAAGTTTCTAAAATTGCTTTGTTCGTCTCATGGGTATGCCATACTCTTGCTGCAGCCCAGTATCACTGGGTTTGCATTCTTCAGTGAATTTTGTTGATTTTATGTTCTTGTGGTTTTGTCATTGATTTGGACAATGCTCAGAGGCTGCTGCGCTTGGCTCCTCAGCAAGACACAAGAATGGAAAATAAAGTGTTACAAAACTAAGGCTCTAGTTGCTCCAAAATCAATTCAAAAGCTAAAAAAAAAATGGCTGTGTGAGTACTATTACATTTGCAAAGATAACTATTCAGTAAGCTATGCTAAACGGACTAATGAAACAGCGAAGCTGATGGCATGCAGTGGGGTTGAATGAAGTGGCATGAAAATGGTCAATGAGGTGGGGAGCAGTAGGGTGTGTCATGGTGAGTTGTGTAAGTAGCGAGAGTGGTGCCACATATCCGCAGGGCGATTTACCCTCTTTCTGTGAGTAAATCCTACAACGATGTACGACTGTTCCCAAAAGTAGAAAGCTAGACAAAAAACAGCTAAGTTGTTAGAAACAAAAACATCTATGCTAGTTTATCCGCGTACTGAACAATACGTCACAGATACTAGCACACTGATCCCAACTTTCTTGCTCTCAATAATGACACAGACCACAAATGCAAACACTGTGGGGCGAAATTTTTTGGAGCACAATTCGGAGGTACTGGCAATCTGAGTAAATTGCTAGTCAGAATGCTCAATATGGCTACTGTGATTACAACCCGACGATCGTGTTGAACACAACCTGGATTAGTTCACAATGTAATTTCATAATGAAGTTAATAAAATTTCCAATTTTCGTAATGCCACCCCATTGTTTACATAACATGAAAATTATTCATTCGAATGCATATTGTGGCACAAAAAGCAATATAAACAAATGGTCGATCAGAGAGGAGCTAAAAAGTTGCATAGAAAAACTGAAGTTCACGGAGCTGCCATGTCTTTTCCGTTGTGAAGCACTGCCATCTTTGTATTCTTGAAAGCTCAAAGTTTCACCTTTCAATTCCCACCTCTTAGCACACAATGACCGCATAGGAAAAAGGAAAGAATGAGAACAACAATAAAGGCCAATCTGATAAAATTCACCATGTACCTGGACTTCTAACAGGCTGTTGCTAATTGTGTACCAACAAAGCAGGAGGCGTTCTCACCCCAAGGAAAACATCGTTGATTGGCCATTTCTTTACCAAATCACTTCGTGATCATAAACAGTCATGAATGAATCAATGCTAATTTTTAAAAGTTCAAAACCAAGAACAACCACAAAAAGCAGTTTTTATATGATCCCATGATGTTAGAGAGCCTGCTTTGTGCCTGCTAGCAGTAAAGTTGCTGTACTTGCGTATGCCACTAAATGTGTTTAACCAGGGGTGCAACAGCCGAAATGCAATTTGGAGCAATTTTTGGAGCAGCAAAATGTTACTTTTGGAGCACTAAAATCTAGTTTTGGAGCAGGTTGCGGGAAAAAAAACATGCATTTTTATCATAAAATACCAAATTTGCAGCAGTATAAAAAAGAAGGCTTACATTTAGAAAAAAAGAAAAATAAGATACATGTATAAACCATTCAACATCATGTAAATTATGCAGTGTGAACATGAGTACAGCTATTTCAATGAAAGTAGTATTTTGAACCAACCCTTAAAGCAAACAATGATGAAGTCTATATTGAAATTTGCTGTGTCTGTCAAATCATTTGACAGATTCTGTGACTTCAAATATGGATCTGCCAAGCTTGTATTGTTAATTGGGAGATTCGTTAAACCGAAAAGTAGGGGTGGCAAGAAAAAACACTGGCGCACACTTTAGCTTTATTTATTAGGTTAATAGTTCATAGCTTATTCAGATGTCAGTGATTATATTGGTATTCAGAATTATGTGGTGTACAAACCCATTAGTAACTCAATAAAACGTGCACTGTCCCGTGACTAGCGCAAGGCATCGGTGTACAGCGGCGAAGGTGGCTTTAGCAGCATTCTTTGCAGGGTTAGAACCAATGCCAAAAAATCTTCTAAGCGTACACCTTCCCTCGACCCCCCCCCCCCCCCCCATTTCCCACTCCTGTTTGTTTTTTCTTTCAACGTGGGGTTAGCTACCGCTTCTGTTCCCTTGCCAGGCACGTTCGATGAGGCAAAGTAACAACGGCGCACGCTTATTGGCCCGGCGACGGTACCGGATATTTATTGCCAGGATCGTGGCCGGGACAATGCATCGTCAAGATAAAAAAAATGTTTTATGTGCCACTGCTAAAGCAATCAACGTGGTCGCTCGCAGCACCGGTGTTTGCAGCGCATCGAGCTTGTTCGCGCGAGAACAAGCCATAGCCGCGTTTTCCGGCCAGGAAATTTGCATTTCACACGAAACATTGATGGCTACAGCAAGAAATTTTTATCTCAAGTTCTGTCGTCTCGCCGATAGGTATCCGCAAGAGTCAGCGGACTGACGGGCGGGCAGCGTTCTTATTTCATCTGGTCGATCGCGTCTCGCAATCATAGGGTGGGTTCCATTTTAAATATATTCTAGGCACTATACTTTGGGTCTGCTCGCGTTGACTGAAGGAGCGAACTACAGGTGGCCGACGTGGCCTACATTTCTCACCGAAATTAGTGCACCTGATAAAATTTTGAGGCTGGCTCAGCATTTTGGTG